AGAAGTCACACTTTAGTTTAAATCCAGCTGTAATGTATTTTCATAGAATATAATATAAAATGTTTGAGACCTCTATAAGGAAAGTGTCATTATTATTCTATAAGTCTATCAAATAACATCAATAAGGGTCGAAAGCCAATATTATGACAAAACTTTGAAATGAGCAATGTAAGAACCCCTTTGAACCCCTTTTTTGCTTTATGGATAATAATTTATTATCGTTTTTTGTATTTTTCTGTTTGAATACTGCAGTAACCTGACCTCTTTTTAATGTATGTGCTCACTCTCCTTTGAATAAGCACGCTATCCATTACTCACCCATACCTATTCACATACCTATTCACATTTTACCCTCATGTATGCTGTTTTTACAACTCATTTCAGAATCTTATATAAATATTTTTCTGCTCCAAACCAATATCACTCTTCCTCTAACATCCTTGCCCTATTTTTCTCTCTCTCTTCCCATAGCTCCTTCTCACACTCAGTTGCAATCCACCTAAGCCCAATTTCTTGCTTTGTTTTCCCATCCCAGTCTTGTGTTTCTTTCTCTCTCCCTCCATAAATCATTTGAAGTACTATATTCTTCCTTCCAAGTTCCATGTGCGTTTGTCCCTCTTTAATTCCATATTTATTCTTGTCAATTACCCTGGTGATCCAAAAAGACTGTACATTGGGAGCTGCATTGGCCGAGGCTTGAAGTTTAATTTCTTCACATGCATCTTCACTAAGCCTCTTCATATGGAACACTGCAAAATAGTTGGACTGTGTTGGTAAATGTGCAGAGACGGATGCATTTCCCTCATTCCTACCTCCAACAACTTTGGGGAATAAAAGTATTACAATTAGGTACCAGAGTAATATATATTCTTAGGTTCTGTAGCAAGTGTATTAAAAAATGATAAGCTTGGAGTCATGTTTACAGATGCTTGCAGTTTATGGAATAAGATCCATGAACTTATGGCAATAATGGCAACTGATAATGTAGATTTAGTTGTTGTTACTGAGACATGGTATAATGAGAAAAAATGACTTAGACATAGCAATACCAGGGTACTCTTTATATAGAAAAGACAGGGAAGGCAAGAAATTGGGAAGGGTGGCCCTGTATGTGAAGGATAGCATAAAATCTAACCTAATAAAAGTTAGTGATGCAAACATAGAGTCCATTTGGGTTACCTTAGAATTTGGTAATCACACAGTAACTCATGTAGGTATGATTTATAGGCCCCCATGACAAATAGAAGAGTTAGATAATCTACTAGTTGAGGAAATAGCTAAATGACAAAGAAGGGGGAAGTTATCATCATGGGTGACTTTAATCTTCCTTATGTGAATTGGAAAACCAAAATAGCTGCTTGTGCCAGGAGCACGCATATTCTAAACTCCCTACTGGGATTGTCTCTAAAACAAGTCGTTGAGGAGCAAACTCGTAAAGAGGCCATACTAGATTTAGTGTTAAAAAATGGAGATTTGGTATCAGATATTACTGTAAGTGAAAGTTTAGGATCCAGTGATCATCAGTCAGTGTGGTTTAATATAAGAACAGTGACTGAGTCACACCACACAAAAACAAAAGTTTTAGACTTTAGAAAAACTTTTTAGTTTTCTAAAATTAGAATATGTGTAAAGGAGTCATTATCAGACTGGAGCAATTTAAATGGAGTTAAGAGGAATGGGATTATTTAAAAGTTGCACTGCTGAAGGCAACCGAAAATTGCATTAGGCTTGTCAGTAAAAGCAAAAAATTCAAGAGGCCACTGTGGTACTCCGCAGATGTGGCCAAAATAGTAAAAAACTAAAAGTTAGCATTTAATAATTATAAAAAAGAGTGAAGAAGACAGAATGATCTATAAGATTAGGCAGAAAGAGTCTAAGCAAGTTATAAGAGCTTCCAAATAACACACAGAAGAGAAAATAGCACAGTCAGTTAAAAAAGGTGACAAAACATGTTTTAGATAAATAAATGAGAGGAAAGTGAAACAAGGATTAGTTAGATTAAAAACAAAAGAAGGAAGGTATGTATGAAGATGATATAATTATAAAAAAGAGTGAAGAAGACAGAATGATCTATAAGATTAGGCAGAAAGAGTCTAAGCAAGTTATAAGAGCTTCCAAATAACACACAGAAGAGAAAATAGCACAGTCAGTTAAAAAAGGTGCCAAAACATGTTTTAGATAAATAAATGAGAGGAAAGTGAAACAAGGATTAGTTAGATTAAAAACAAAAGAAGGAAGGTATGTATGAAGATGATGAAATTAGCTGATATGAGAAGATGGCCTAGTATATTTTTTTTTGTATCTAGGTTAGCTTGATTTTGAAGGTGGCCCTTTTTTTGGAAGAGGATAAACGTCTAGCTGACTGCCTCAATTAATATTTTTGTTCAGTATTTACAGTTGAAAATGAAGGAAAGGGGCCTCAGTTAGCAAAAAGGACAAATGAGTAATTTGTTACATGTGAGTTTACAGAGGAAGAGGTTCTATTTCAACTGTCAAAAGTAAAGACAAATAAGTCAATGGGACCTTATGGAATACACCCAAAGTTATTAAAAGAGCTTAGTGGTGTACTAGCAAAACCATTGACAGATTTATTTAACCAATCATTGTTAACAGGAGTAGTACCAGAAGATTGGAAGTTAACGAATGTTGTGCCCATTCACAAAAAAAGGTAGTAGGGAGGAGTAGGGCAACTCTAGGCCAGTAAGCCTTACTTCAGTAGTTGGGAAAGTAATGGAAACCATGTTCAAGGATAGGATTGTTGAACATCTAAAATCACATGGATTTCAAGATCAGAGACAATATGGGTTTACTTCAGGGAGATCATGTCAAACTAATCTATTGATTTTTTTGATTGGGTAACTAAAATAATAGATCAGGGTGGTGCAGTAGACATTGCTTACCTAGATTTCAGTAAGGATTTTGACACTGTTGCATATAGAAGGCTAATCAATAAACTGCAATCTTTAAGTTTGGATTCCAATATTGTTGAATGTGACAGGCAACAGAAGTTTGTAGTCAATGGACTGTATTCGAAGCATGGGCTTGTCACCAGTGGGGTACCTCGGGGATCTGTACTTGGTCCTATTCTCTTTAATATTTTTATTAGGGAAATTGCAGAAGGTCTTGAAGGTAAGGTATGTCTTTTTGCTGATGATACTAAGATATGTATCAGGGTTGATGTTTCAGGAGGGATAAGTCAAATGGCAAATGATTTAGGTAAACTAGAAAAATGGTCAGAGTTGTGTCAACTGATATTTAATGTGGATAAGTGCAAGATAATGCATCTTGGACGTAATAACCCAAGGGCAGAGTACAGAATATTTGATAGAGTCCTAACCTTAACATCTGAGAAAAGGGATTTAGGGGTGATTATTTCTAAAGACTTGAAGGTAGGCAAACAATGTATTAGAGCAGCAGGAAATGCTATCAGAATGCTTGGTTGTATAGGGAGAGATATTAGCATTAGAAAGAGGAAAGTGATCATGCCATTGTACAGAACACTGGTGAGACCACACTTGGAGTATTGTACGCAGTATTGGAGACCATATCTCCAGAAGGATATTGATACTTTAGAGATAGTTCAGAGAAGGGCTACTAAACTGGTTCATGGGTTTCAGGATAAAACTTACAAGGAAAGGTTAAAGGAACTTAACATGTATAGCTTTGAGGAAAGACGAGATGGGGGGATATGATAGAAACATTTAAATACATAAAGGGAATCAACACAGTAAAGGAGGAAACTATATTTAAAAGAAGAAAAACTACCAAAACAAGAGGACATAGGTTTCAAAATAATATCACAAAGTATATCTTTACTGAAAGGGTAGTGGATGCATGGAATAGCCTTCCAACTGAAGTGGTAGATGTTAACACAGTAAAGGAGTTTAAGCATGCGTGGAATAGGCATAAGGCTATCCTAACTGTCACGTGCGTGGGCTATAGGCCCAGCCGAGACAGTGGGGAGAGTGTGGAAGTGACAGGGTTAATGACACCAGACCCCTGGTTACCTGTTGCTAGTCCCAGCAACCACTCAATTAACCCCTGCAATCCCTTCTACACTAACCCCCTTAATACACTTTCTACTGCCACCACCAAGACTTTTAAACCCGGGCGTCTTAGGTTACCCCACACACAGGAGAATTATAGTATCACAGTTCTACTTTTACTGATAAAACATATATACACGTTTTTGGTAACGTGTTTACCTGAGCTTTCCTCTGGAGAGTGAAGCTCATAGAGAACAGAGACACAAGCTGATTAAGTAAACATTTAATCTGACAAAAAGGATTCACAGTGCTGAGTACAAAATACAGAAATAAATGACATACAGATAACAAATTGCAAAACAGTACATAAAATAAAATAGGAGAAAACACAAGAAATTCCTTACATATATTTACCCCATATAGAATTCTTGTGGGAGTCTTAGATGGTATAGGTCTCCTAGAAGTTACTGACAAAAAGAAAAATGAATAACTGACTTCCCTGGATAGTCCAACACCCTCATATATCTAAACTAGTTGTTTCTCAGTGGGCAGACCCCTGGGGGGGGATCAGAGGGGGTTGGTCTGGCAGTCTATTGCCCACTCTATGAAATTCCTTGTGTCCAGCTCTGGTGATGGCTATCTAGATGTTTTATGGTCTAGGCCTGGTGCAAGATCAAAGACCACAATAAATGTCATCCCAAGGTTTACAAAAAAACAACTCTTAACATATATAAACACACATCAAACACCAACTCATGCTTTTGGCATGACACCTCCCCCTTAAGATGGTGGACAGAAAAATGTAGCCACAGGCTGATTTATCTGTCTACCATTAACCCTCTAGTTGCCGAGACAGGCCATCTGCATTCCCATGCAAGCTGCCCTTTTTGTGTTGGACAGTGAAATTATACTGTTGGAGGATAGGGCTCCAATGGAGCAGTTTACCATGGTTACCTGTCACCTGCAGCAGGTTGTGATCAGTCCATACCACAGCTACACCCTCAACAAACATGCCTGATTTGCCTGTTTCAATTCCCCATCGATCTCTGGTAACATCCCTTAAACCACACCCACTGCGCTCATGTAGTAGCTGTAAGGGGAAGAAACCAATGGATTTCTGCAGCACTCCCCGGTAAGCACACAAAAAAGCAGACAGAGAACACTCCCAGGATAGATGTGCTGTATCAACACCCATCATCTCTTTTATTTTGCGGTCTGTCTGCTGGGCTTGTTGCACTATCAGACTCTGAACCTTTGGTTCACAATCAGAAAGTTGCTTAGGTGTATGCGTGAGTTGTGATAAACTGACAAGGTTCCTGGTTCCTCCAACAGTATGTTTCCCTGCAGCCATCCTTCCTGGACCCACAGGCTGAGTCTGTCCGTGCCCCTCACTTTCACTCCAGGTCATCAGACATACAGAACTTTGGAAACTGGCTAAGTCTGGCGCAGAGTAAAGCTCACACACCCTCTGCCCTCCCTCATAGCCTCGCTGTCCCTTCACATTTTCACCCAGTGTATCACATACATCTGCTTCAGGCACATATTGGCACATATATTCATTCAGCCCCCTCTCGCTGGAAGGCTTTTCCCATACATTTTCACAGGACACATTTGACCCCCCTTGATCAGATACAGAATTTTGCACACACTCACATAATTTCTTCTCCAAGGCAGGCCCTCCTCTCACAATCTCACATAGCACCTCAGACTGTCCTGCTGCAGCCCTGACCCACTGTTGACTTGTTACCACTGCGACTAGTGGTACACATCCCTGGCTCTCACCTTCCTCCTCCCCCTTACTCTCTGACATCCCAGCCTCACAATATTTTAATACAGGCACATCACTACTCACCCCTATCTCACATTTGGTAGACATCACTGGTTCAGTTACAGGTAGATATTTATCCACACCCTGCTCTCCCTCCCAGCAATCACACTTCACAATGTCTCCCAAAGTTTCACACAATACCTTAGGTGGAGCAGTCAGCCCTCCTGGCTCACAAACAGTGTCCGCTGGAGCATAGTGACAGAGCATCCTGCCCAAATCATTCCCCAACAGAACATTAACAGGGATATCCTCCGAAACCCTCACTTCCTGCAAACCTTTGCCCGCACCCCAATCAAGGTACATACATGCAAGGGGCACAGCGGGACGCACACCCCCAATTCCTTTGATGGACATGGTTCTTCCAGGGATTATGTCCTCTGTATTCACCACTTCAGGGCGCACCAGGGTGAATGAAGCTCCAGAATCTCTCAGTCCCACGGTCACTTGGTCACCCACAATTACACTCTGCAGGTTATCCTCTCGTTTCCCCACAGACCCACCCACAAGCAAAACTGATGGTGCCCCTCCACGGGCTGGTGAGGGTATATTCCTAGTGGGGCAAGTCCTGCTCAGATGACCAATCTGGTTGCATCGAAAACAACGGCGGGCATCTGACTCACTTGACATAGCCCCGGCTACGCTGGCAGTCGGCGGTGAAGTTCTCACTGCAGATCTTACAGGTGGTGATTGAACTGTAGCTTCTCTCCAGGTCGAAGTAGCAGCTGACACAAGTCCACACCTGGATGTGGGTGCATGGATGTAGGCATAGTCATCTGCCAGTTCTGCAGCAGCCCTAGCATTTTTTGGCTTTCTTTCCAAAATCCACTCTCGTACATTAGGGCTCCGGGTCTGCAAGAACTGCTCCAGGACCAGTAAGTCATTAAGGCTTCATAGGTAGTAGCTTGTACTCCTGTTACCCATTGCCGGAACGTGGTTTCTAATTGTGCAACATATAGAATGCAGCTGGATGATGGGCATTGCTGCATACTCCTAAACTTTTTCCTGTAAGACTCAGGAGTAAGGTTAAAAGTTTTTTGCAATGCAGATTTGATTGCCTCATAGTTGTTATCAGTCTCTGGGGGAAGGGACACAAACACATCCAAGGCTTTCCCTTTCAATTGTGGAGTTAAATATCTGCCCCACTGGTCTGAGGGTAGTTGATGCTGCCTGCATACTTTCTCAAAACTTTTTAGAAATACATCCAAATCTGTCCCTTCTTCGAGGGAAGGAAAATCATCCTTACGGAGCCTACGTGTGCTGGACTCTGATGCATTGCTGTTCAGTGAGGACTGAAGGGTAAATTGCAGTTTAGCAAGTTCCAGCTCATGTCTCCTTTGTGCCTCCCTTTCGGCTAGCCTCTCTGCAGATTCCCTTTCTGCAGCCTGCTGTTGGATCATCACATGCAGGGCCTCCTGAGGATTTGCAGCCATCAGTTGCCGAAATAAATCAGTTGAGCAAATGTCCTTAATGTTTTGAGGGGTACAACCACCAGGCATTTCAGTAAGCAACACTCCTGCAGTAGTAGGGAGCTCTGTAACCCTTTCAGTGTCCGTCTCGGGCGGGAAAATATGGCTGTCAGCCTCCACAAGGTCAGCAATAAGTTGTGCCTTATTTTTGCCAAAAGTTGGTAAATTCTTTTCTTGGCACAACAATTCCAAGGCCTCTTTTGATTGTTTGCGATAGGCCTCCATATTCACAAATAGGATAGAGAAAGAAAAACAAAAGATGGGAGGGGAGAACTGTTTTGCACTTTGTATGTATTTTAAATCAGCACTGAGCTTGGTCTTTGGAAATTACACAAAAACAAGTATGCAATTTCTTTTAGTGCTAAGACCCCCTTTACAGGTAAAATCTAGCAAGCACTAAAAATCTCTAAATATATCCCACTAGCTGCCGCCAGTTTGTCACGTGCGTGGGCTATAGGCCCAGCCGAGACAGTGGGGAGAGTGTGGAAGTGACAGGGTTAATGACACCAGACCCCTGGTTACCTGTTGCTAGTCCCAGCAACCACTCAATTAACCCCTGCAATCCCTTCTACACTAACCCCCTTAATACACTTTCTACTGCCACCACCAAGACTTTTAAACCCGGGCGTCTTAGGTTACCCCACACACAGGAGAATTATAGTATCACAGTTCTACTTTTACTGATAAAACATATATAGTTAACCCCTTTTTGGTAACGTGTTTACCTGAGCTTTCCTCTGGAGAGTGAAGCTCATAGAGAACAGAGACACAAGCTGATTAAGTAAACATTTAATCTGACAAAAAGGATTCACAGTGCTGAGTACAAAATACAGAAATAAATGACATACAGATAACAAATTGCAAAACAGTACATAAAATAAAATAGGAGAAAACACAAGAAATTCCTTACATATATTTACCCCATATAGAATTCTTGTGGGAGTCTTAGATGGTATAGGTCTCCTAGAAGTTACTGACAAAAGAAAAATGAATAACTGACTTCCCTGGATAGTCCAACACCCTCATATATCTAAACTAGTTGTTTCTCAGTGGGCAGACCCCTGGGGGGGGATCAGAGGGGGTTGGTCTGGCAGTCTATTGCCCACTCTATGAAATTCATTGTGTCCAGCTCTGGTGATGGCTATCTAGATGTTTTATGGTCTAGGCCTGGTGCAAGATCAAAGACCACAATAAATGTCATCCCAAGGTTTACAAAAAACAACTCTTAACATATATAAACACACATCAAACACCAACTCATGCTTTTGGCATGACACTAACTATAATATAAGGCCAGGGACTAATGAAAGTATTTAGAAAATTGGGCAGACTAGATAGTCCGAATGGCTCTTATCTGCCGTCACATTCTATGTTTCTATGTTCTGACTTCTTCATCTTCATAACACTCAATTCCCAGGACTGACCTGCCTCTAACTGTGAGGAAGGGAGTTTGCCAAAGTACTAGTATTTACAATTTTAGCAAACTAATATGAATGAAGCTGTCAATTCAAATGTATATTCATTTGCCTAGTAGCAAACATAAACTACAGAATATAATTACAGAGCAAAATGATTTAGTATAAATGTCATCAGTATATTAGGGGTGGAAATGGTATAAAATAGTCTTAATAAGGATACATCATTTAGTTATTACAAATCTCACTATTACATTATTACACATACAATTAGCGTCTAAATTGTTAAGACTTCCAGTCATTGTGATAGCATGCTTCAGTCTCTCTGTGAAGCACGAACAGTTTATTTCCATCAGGATTCTCAAGGTTTTCTTTTTATTGGCACATTTCTACTCGACAATTAAACTAATCTATGAACTTCCTTGAGAATCCACCATATTGTCATATAAACCTGAGGGTAGAACCTCAGTGTGTTTTCAAATAAATCTTTCAATTCATAATTATTTTGCCTTTAGTTCTTTAACATCATAAATATATAGATCTATGTCTTTGTGTTAGCATTACTTAAAAATAGTAGGTAAAATACAAATAAATATATTGATCTGAAAGTAATAATTGTCATTATTGAACTAATATAAGAAATAACATCTGCTTAATATCCATACTTTTGACTTGGAATGGTCTAATATAGATGGATGGATAGATAGATAGATAGATAGATAGATAGATAGATAGATAGATAGATATTCAGTTACATTATAGAAAGTGGTTTATAGGAATGAAATAAGAGTACATTTCAAATATTGAAAGGTGCCAATTTGGTTTCTACACTATGCGTTAGTAAAATGCTGACAAGTAATAGCTATATTTATATTAAATAAAGAACATTGCAGAAGTTTGTTGTCAGCCAAATGTAGTTCAGATGAGTTAAGAACCTGAGGCAAATTCATCCTCAGTCTACTAATCAGTCAGATATATATGGCATACTTTTGCACTTCTTGCATTTCTGGAAAAGATTGTCTGTTTTGGGATAGAAAGACAGTGGGTTGATAGGTAGACTTTTAGAAGAAATAGATTGATCGAAAGGGTGAGAGAAAGAGAAGAGAGGCAGACAGACTTGATAGACTAACAGATAGAAAGAAAGAATGGTTAACTCATAATCTTTAAAACAAAATAATGATGACAATTCAATTTTAAGGAAAAAAAAGTGCAGACTGTATCAGGATTTTACATATTATATTTTTAAATCACATAAATGCATTAAAAACTATAATGCACTTTTTGATTTTCCATCTTACCAGAAATTAGTTGAAGTAGTGGAGATAGTATGAGGTATCTGCCTGAGCAGCAGCCCTTTTTGTAACTGATGCCATTTGTTCAGTCCTATTCCTGAAAAGATTTGTTAGGTGAGGAAGCACAACTCTCACTACTAAGTCCCTATTCATAGATATCAAAAAAGAGTAAGGGATGAATTTAAGTATAGCCGCTGCAAATACCAGCAACATGTGTGAAAAATAGAAATCTCGTTTTATAACCTATTTTATTTAGAGTAGGTTGGAAAATATATCAACACAAAGTAGTGAGGTATATCTAGATTAGGTAGAAACAGGTTGGTAGAAACAGGTTGGTGATTTTAGGCCTGTCTCATACTAAGGTTTACTCTAAGTGTCAGAGACTGTAGTCATATCTGATGATTACAGTGCAATGAGTAAAGTTAGGTAAGAATGATGTAACAATAAAATGATTTAAGAAACCTATTCTGATCCAAATATATTAGAAATTGGATAGGAAGGAGGGAAAATCATGTCATGATATTATAAGGCAGTCAAAGTGTATAATAGAAGCATTATGAAAAAAAATCAATGACTGTTGTATAAGATCACTGTTTAACTTGTAGTGATATGCTGTACAGAACTGAAATTTCAGGTTGCCTGAGGTCTTAACCTTGTGGTAGGCCGTACTAATCACCAGAAAAGGAGATGGTGGCTTAATGAGTGACCTGTTTAGTGACCAATTTGACTAAGTGAGCATTTGACCTGTAAAATAGAACAGGCCTAGTAAAGTATGACCAATTTGACTAATTGAGTGCATGGTCTCTGTGATATAGGAAGCTCAGTATTATAATCCGGTTTCACTTAGTTGACTGCCTGATCTTAGTATAACTAAAAATAAATATCAGTACAACTAAGAAATATGAATACAATTAATAGAAATATATAGCAAAGACTGCTGAGCATACTACAGCTAAGATGTCCTGCAACTTACATTATGAATTTAAAGAAACAATATAGGCACCCGGACGGCGGTGGTGTAGGTGTGCCTCTTCCGCCTTATATTAATCCTACAGCTGAAAACATTGCTGTCCTGCACGATAATCTGCTTCTCTAAAATAAAATAATTAAACTTTGCTACTTCTATCAGATATCTCTATGGGGAAGTATTGGATTGGCTTAGATCATTGATCTAGATCAGCAGTTCCCAACCTGTGGTACGCGTACCCCCAAGGGTACAATTCAGTGCCCCTGGGTTTACACGAAAAAATGTGGGTAATGGCAGCAGTGATGGCTGTCACACAGGCTGGGAACAGCTGCCTGAGCCTATGGGGAGGCCCACGCACTTTGGGCCACCCGATACACATGTGCCTTCATGGGTTCGGTCTCTGTTTCTGCAGCCAGAGCTGGGAATAAGTAACGCTTATAACTACTTCCTCCCAGCTCGCACACCGAGCATGCCATGCGGGAAAGGGGGCGAGGCAAGCAGAGCGGTCCAGGAGAGCAGCAGGACCCTAACTTCCACCAGACCCAGCCAGTTAAAAGGTAGTATTTGTGTATATGTATGTGTATGTGTGTGTAGTGCTTGTGTGTGTAACTGCATGTCTGTGAGTATGTATGTGTCAGTGTATCTGCATGTGTGTATCTGTATATGTCAGTGTGTGTTACAGTTTGTGCCATTGTGTCAGTGTATCTGTATGTCTGTGTATCTGCATGTGTCAGTGTGTGTATCTGAATGCGTCAGTGCATGTTTCTGTGCGTCCGTGTATGTGGCTGTGTGTGTATCTGTAAGTATATGTGTCTGTGTGTGTATCTGTATGCCAGTGTATGTGTCTGTGCATCAGTGTATGTGTCTGTGCGTCTTTGTGTGTGTATCTGTAAGTCAGTGTGTCTGTGTTTGTATCTGTATGCCAGTGTATGTGTCTGTGCATCAGTGTATGTGCCTGTTGTGCATCAGTGTGTCTGTGTGTGTGTGTATCACAGAGCAAGAGACAGATATGTGAGATAGAGGTTACTGTGGGAGGCCGTAAGCTTTCCTAAAGAGATGGGTTTTAAGGCACTTCTTAAACGATTGATGACTAGGGGGGAGTCCAATGGTGGTAGATATATCTGGGTGTCAGCGTACAGGTGGTAGTGGAATCCAAATGAGGTAATACATTTGCCAAAAGAGGCAGTATAAAGAGAAAATAGAAGGTAACCAAGGACAGAGCCTTGGGGGACTCCAAATGAGACAGGTTGAGGGAAGGAGGTATCATTAGAAAAGGATTCAATGAATGAGCATTGGGAGAGATAAGAGGAAAACCACAAGAGGACAGAGTCACAGAGGCCGAGTTATTGAAGAGTTTGAAGAAGGAGAGCATGATCAATGGTGTCAAAGGCAGCAGAGAGGTCAAGAAGAATTAGTATGGAGTAGTGGCCTTTGGATTTAGCTGCGATTAGGTTGTTAGTAAGTTTGATAAGAGCAGTCTCAGTAGAGTGGAGAGGGCGGAAGCCAGATTGAAAAGGGTCAAGGAGAGAGTTGGGATTGAGGAAGTGAGAC